CCGGTGGCGTCTGCAGGCATTAAGATTGCATGAACGCTGAGACAGACGAGTTCTCACCGTTTGACTTGTTTCTTTGAAATGCGTCGGTTTGCTGTGTTCTCTGCTTCACTGCAGCGTTTAAGCCAAACGTGCTGATGAAGCTGAATAGGAACCGACTGTAATAGACTCCGAGGAAAGATCGTCAACGTTTCATCAATGAACACTGGGACAAGATTTGTTTTTTTTAACCGAGAAAACCACTAAATAAAACTTTTGAAAAAATGTGAAAATTTGCCACATTTTATTGTCATCCAAAGAAAACTAAACGACAACGTTAAACACAGACAAATGAACCAAACAGTGTTTTAATGCAAAGGAGCTGCAGAATCACACAGTGAATGAGTTCCCTCCTGCAGCCAACTGCAGCTAAATTCTGTTTTTGTCCTTCGGTTCAGTAATTCTCTGTGATGTTACCTGATGTCAAAAAAACACATTTAGAAGCTAAATTCAACTCCAGATCGCTGAGATTCTGACAAAAAGCAGCAACAAAGCAGCTGAGACAAACTGCAAACACACAGGCAGGTACGTTTATTTAACGTTATCGATGCTAATGTTACTGATAGACAAGCAGACATGTGCTTCTCAAACACATCCATAATGTTTTCAAGGAAAGTTTAACAGATAAATTATTGAGTTATTTACAGAAAACAGAAGTGTAAACTGTTGAATAGCTACAAATAAAGTCCAGTAAACAAAGTCGAAACAGATTTTATTCAGTTTTATTTATACTAATAGTAGCTTTGGTCATATTTGCTCTCAGAGAGCAGCTTTACTTGTAGTTCCTGTTAAAAGCTAGTTTTTACTCTTCACTGTTGCCAGCTGCTGCTGCTGTGGGAGGTTTGGTTCTCTCTATTATATTGTCAGTAAATATTCAATTCACCTCAGTTCATTTTTATTGATATAGCACCAAATCCCACCACAAGTCATCTCAGGACTCTTCACACAGTAAGAACCAACTCCCAGGTTGGGTTCAGGAGGCAGACCCCGCCCTGCTTTTAAAACCAGGCTTTAAACTTTGCTTTTCTCTTGTAGTTAGGCTAGCTCAGGGAACCCGGAACCATCCTTTACCAACATTTACTTACATCCTACGGAGAAAAAAAACACAGCAATAACAAAAAGAAGGACCAGAGATTTCTCTGCATGGACCAACTGAAGTCAGTAACACATTTGGATGTGTTTGTTGTCTTCTAGAAAAGGGTCTGATAATGTGGACATGACGGATCAGGGCAGGACACAGAGGCGACAGACATGGATGTCTCTGTAACCGTTTACAAAAGTCTGTTTCTGTGCCTCAGGACTGAAACATAAATCCTGAGTTTTCAACTAAAACAAGGTCAGTAGTGTTTCTACAAGTTGCCGTTTGAGGGTCTCTAAAACGTTGGACTTGTGTTTATGCTGTGCTTAATCATAGCAGAAGTTTTAAAACATATTAGTGTGGATGTGGCCTGAGTGATGCTCCCACAGGATGCTGGAGGACTTCCCATGATGCACTGGGGCTCTCTCTGTTGTGTCCTCTCTGCTGACATCTCTCCTGTGGGGCTACATATTTCCAATCTGTTTATCTTCACTGTTCATCTTTTGTCTCGCTACAACCGGTGGAGGCAGATGGCCGTCCTCTCTGAGCCCGGTTCTGCCGGAGGTTTGTTCTTCCAACTAGAACCGAGTGCTGCTCAAACAGATCGTTCAGTTTGTTGGGTTTCTCTCGATAACGAAAATAAAACTGCCCTGAGACGACTCATGAAGCTAAATGTTCTGCCTCCAGTTCTACTTTTGAAACCTCGAAGAACCACAAGTTAACCTGCAGCCTGACAGCAAAGTGCTCTGTTGAAACAAACATATGCTATGAGGGATGTAATGGAGCTTGTATGTGAGAAGAATCTATTCTGGATTTTACAGGAAGCCAATAAAGAGAAGCTCAGAAAGAACAGATTTCAAGAATTTTCTTCGTATTATTAAAGTTTGAACTTATAAGCGAGAAATGTGATCTCTGGTTGCTGTCAGGTCTCGTGTCATGTTAGATGAGCGTTACTGGTACATCCTGATAATAAGGAGTCACAACAGTCCAGGCAAGAAGCAAAAAAAATGCATCAACTAGATATGCAAATGTCATTTATAACTGCAACAGCTACAAGTAATGAACGGTGGTGGAGCAGTCCTACATGATGGATGACTGGTTGACGGAGTTAACTCTACGTCAGCGATGAATTGATTGTGGAGCCAACAGCTGAAATTGAGATGAAACTAATGGATCGTGATTGAAACTATTGCAGACCAACCTAAATATAGACACATCAACTCGGCATCAATTCAGATTAACATGAACATGACAGGCGGTGGCAGTGAAGGGGTCCTCGGGTTCATCTCACAGAGCTGTGGGGAACTTTGCACTAGAAAGGTTGGGAGCCGCAGAGTAAACCCGGAGCCTCCGAGGTCTCTGGACTGCTGGTGATACAACTTTGATCGCAGCAGTTTCCTCTGCAGGAGCATCTCATTATGAGCAAAAGGTCAGTGATGAGTCCTCATCAGCCCCCTTTCACCGCTCAGACTGCTGCTATCGATCCCTCCCACCTTGGACGAAAGGCTTCGAGCACAAACAGCTCCGACTCGACTCACAACAGAACGGATGAACCCGAGAAGCACCGAGTCAGCAGAACACGCAGCTTGTCATTATTCCTGTTTGTTTCGCTGCAGAGCGATCAAAGATAACACTCTGAGGAGCCAGTCGATGCGAGCGCTTCAGCTGTATGAATTTTTTATTGTTTCTGTAACCTCTGGTGTCCCACTGTCTGCACGCTGAGCTGTTATTCACAGCAGTCAGTTAGAAGAGGTTCATCTGAGTCTCGACTAAAGCAACAAATCAACAACACCAAAGACACGCTGTTAAAAAACAAGGCGTCTGCTGTTTTGGCCTACATTTCCCGGCTCACCTTTCAACGATCCGGGGTGAACGCACTGGCCTACAGCATGTGGAAAGAAGCGAACGTTTCTACAGTGACACCAAATGACCCCCGTTGGATTCAATCACACCTCGCAGAACGAGACAAAGCAGCAAAACACGGAGAAGTGAAATCCTCAGAATTAAACTGGTGGCTTTTATTGGTTTATTTTCATACTATACCAAGAGCCCTTTTAACATCGAGCTGCCTTTTGTCAGATGTGTTAAAGTAAGCTAACAAGAAATATTAAGTAATTACATTTTGTACACAAGTCAGGATGATTTTAGAAGATATTAGCTTCAGTTAAGTTCATATAACGGCTGTTGTTTTGTCGTTCTGTGTCGGTAGAGTAGGCGAAGCATTTTCCACAGACAGTTTTACTGCTTATTGGCTTGTTTTAATCAGTTTGAAGTATGTGTTGCAGCCTCCTCTGTCTATCTGTAGTCACTCTGTGGTCTCAAGCAATGCCCCGCCCACAGCACCATCTGATTGGTTACATGCCATGAGTAATAGCCAATCAACACTGAAGGAGAAATGTTGAAAGGTTGTCTTCTAATTACACATGTGTAAAACAGAATTAAAGGAAAGCCAGTGACGTTTTGTGTTAAACTAAAAACGACTTGTTGGCTCCAACTATCAGTTGTGTCTCCTTGATTACTAATAAATGGTATCAGTTGATGCCGTTAGCTTCACTCAGGTTTGACTGTCACTCCCCTGCCCCAACCTCGCGTCCTGTATTTGGAAACTGAAGCCAGAAGAGATCAAGTGGACCATGAAGTCATTCCCTGGGCCTTAAATCAGCACCAATGCAAACCAGCGGGCGACGCCATCGCCTGCTACATCCATCTTTATTTACAGTCTGTGGTTCAGACTCTGGCAGCTCTTGGTTCTGGTTCAGAAAAGACGGTTCCTAGCTTTAATCCATAAAAACATCCACAGACACCGGTGACACGTGTTTATGTTGAAGCAGGACAGTTTAAGTGAGACAGTGAGGTGTTTATCAGCCGTAAATCAGGACTCATAAACCAGAACAGTAATTACACAAACTGAGCTTCATCTGACATGAAAGAACAAACATGTCAATCATCCTGTTTCCATCGCAGGACCGCAGCTCTGGCTTTATGCACTGTTAAAATGAAGTTAATGATTTAAAACATATCACTGGTGAGGATTTATAACCACCAAACTTAACTCATGTTGTTTTTTTTTTGGTTTGCAAATTAAAGCCCAATGAGATCGGATTAGATGTCACGTGAATGTTGATGAAGAGTTATTTTATTAATTCTGGTGCAGTGAAGTGTCTAATTGGCACATTAATGGGTCAAATTTACCTCATTTGAGTTCGTTTTGAGTCTGTTTTAAACGCTACCTAAAAGGTTAAAAGCCAGTGGAACAGATTTTCAAATAAATAATGCCACCAGTAAGATTCAGAACTCTTCATCTGGTCCCTTCAGGATTTACAGACATCCTGTTGGATTTTAATATCTCCATCCTGATAAAACCACGACGGCTTTTCAGTTCTGCGTGTGACAGAAGCAGCATCAGTGGACTCGTTCAGACTTTATTGAACGGGACAGAGTCGAGTTCCGCCGATCAATCTGACGCCTCCGAGAAGCAGTCCGCTGTCAGTTCTGAATGAAAGCCGGTGGAGGTGGACGAGTGTGTCCCTGCCATCCATCCATCCATCCTCATCACCTCCATCATTATTCTCTGCCTTGCCACCACACAGCCAAACTTAAGGCCCGAGTTCAATGAAAATCACATTTAATCCACAGTGACGCCCGACAGTGTGCGAGCACCGGTTAAGATTCATCTGTTTTGCATTTGATTTGAGTTCAATAAAAAACGTTTCATACCGAGTGATGATAAAATGCTCATGAATGTCAGAATCTCTCAGTCTTTGTTTGCCTCCTTTTACTTTCATGACAGCAGGACTTGATCTGCATGGACTCCACCAGACCTGATGACCCATGGTGTCCCAGCAAAGGTTCCAAACAGCTTATTGTCATGTAAATAACTGTGTTCTTATGTCTTTAACTGCTCCATAGATGTTTTACTGGGGTTGAGTTCAGGTGACTGTGGAGTAAAGTCCATGATGCTCTCCTTGGTCTTCTTTGGTTCTTCAAGTTGAAGTTTGAAGGAGTGTTTGGGCTCATTATCCTGCTGCAGCATGAATCCTTCTCCAAAGAGATGCAAACCAGACGGAGGAGTCTGTGAAGAATGGATGGTCAGAGTGGAGGATGTTTCACTGTGTGGTAGATCCACTACGGTGTCCTTCTGGTGTCTATACTGTATACACACCCTTTTGTCAATGCCACTAATTTTCTTTTTTCAATATAAATCTTCTGGGCTTTTGCCTTTATTTAGAGCAGTTGAGATAGACATGAAAGCGGGGGAGAAGAACAGGGAGAGACCTGCAGCAAAGGGTTATGGGCGGGAGTCGAACCCAAGACCAGCCAAGGGATTGTGTTAGAGCTTGTGCAGAACTCCTGAAAAGTGGTTTAGAGATGCTCTTTGTCCTCTGAGAACATCACGAGACAGCCGTCCTTTGACAGAACCTTTGCTGATTGGAGTCTTGCTTTCTTTATTTAGTAAATTATGTGATGAAGCTGCTGTTCTACAGTCAGTAAACAAAGCTTGATGCATCGATCTTCTGATGATTTGTTAGCTTTTGGTCTGTCTGATCCTGTTTAGATACAACTGATCCAGTTTCCATAAAGTGTTTCAGAGCTCCTCACAGTGTCACCTCAGAAACCTTTAGTCCAGCCATGACTCGATGCTGATGACGCTCCGCTTTGCTCAGAGTAATAATTTAACTTCTGACACTTTCACTCAGTTCTGATGCCATGTTTCCCATCATCACAGAGCTACTTAGTGAACAACAATCTGCTGGTAACCTGAGTCACAGACATATTTCCGTAATATAAACAATGACTGCAGGTTGATTTAGTTAAACAAGCCTCCGATGAGTCAAAGAAATCCATCTGAATGCTGCTTCAATGGAAGGATGCAGCTCAAAGAAATCTTACCTTTGTTCGAGTTAGCAGGGTCACTGCCATTAATCCAGTTTGGTTGATTAATGATACACTGATCAGAGACTGAAATATTTCTCCTTCAGTTTACATGTCAGATCTATGTTTTAAAACCTCTCTGATGATTCCAAGGTTCACAAAAAAAGACTATTAGACTCCACTGTAGCATCAACCGCGTCCATGTTAAAGGCACTTCATGGGTACAAAAGAAACACCCTCAGAAAACTAGTTGTTCAGAATCTGTGTTCTTTTCTTACAGTTTAGAATTTCATTTAGCAGATGTACATGTTGTACGTCTGAGAGTAGATACACATTCAGACGCCTGGTGACAGAACTGCTCTGCCTGCCATTGGCAGCAACTTGCCCAAGGACACTTCAGCTGTGGCGGGGTGGAGGATCAAACTTCCAACCTTTGCTCTACCACCTGAGCCATAGCTGCCCACATCATTTCTGTTGATTTTTTGATCCACAAACCACAATAATCTACTGTAGGTATTATATGTATATTTACAGGTTACTTGATTACAACTAATTGTTACCAATATGTGGATGCTAAACGAACAGGAAATGTGAGACTGTTGTAAGGTTAAACTTGAACCATATTTTAGCATATAAATGGCTCAGCAGTGATACAGAAACAACCCATCAGCAGTAAGTCAAAGTATCACACCGGTAGCAGGTAGAGATAGCCAAGGTTGTGTTGGTGCTGTTTTGACCCAGACTGAGTCCATTTTTGCCATCCATGGCTGAAGACAGCGGGGGTTAGTCCTGCTCAGCCTGACTCGGCCTCCTCGCTGGGGTTTTGATTTGCTCTGCGTTATGCTAATGAAGCCGCCGCTCTCTCTCAGGGGGATTCACACCGACACGGTTTTACCAGATTTCTCCAGCGAGGGTCGTTGGAAATGTGATTCAGGAGTCTCGGGGGAAATAAGCATGCAAGGTGCTGCTTCAGGCAAAGTAATATCCTCAGCCGGTTAGACGGAGCAATAATCTCCACAGGGCCGAGCCGGGGGACGCCTGCACCCCCCGGGACTCTAAGCGACGCCGGGGGGAGAGTCTGTCGGCGTTTATGAGACCGTTGTCACGGAGCGAACACACTCAGAGTCCTCATCACACAGATGGTGAACAACTGAGAACAGGAGGCCCTGCAGCAGAGACACCCGGGAGGCTCATAGATGCACAGAGTCAGAAAATCTGACGCTCTGGGAGGCACTTAGACACATTGAGCTAACATCAGCATGCTAATGTGCTCGTTGTCTGCGCAGATCACCCACTAAATACTTTCTGTTGTACACATCTTTTACTTTTCAATGACTACAGCGAACCTTTTTGCTTCAACAGTAAAACTGAACTTTACATGCCTGTAATATTTACCATTAGCTTAGCATATTGTCCAGCTAACATTTGTATCCACCAACAAAACCCCTTAATATGTGAGAATGTCCTATTTCAGCCCAAACGAAAAGTAAATACCTGAAAACTGAATAAACATCCCTTAAAATCTCATTAATTAGCAGCTAAAACATTTCAGATCTCATGACACCATAAAACTCACCCTGAATGGATTTTTGCTTTTTTTTGTATTACTGTGACATTTATTTACAATTAATGTGAAGTCTCAAAAAGTCTAACTCATTTGTTCGTTAAGGGCTTTGCAAACCAAGTTTTGTAGTTCTTCAGTTAATGGACACATGAAGGTAAACTGATTTACACCGAGGTGTGCGTTCGGGGGTAAGTGGAGCTTTACCTACAGGTTCTGCAGGGCCTGTTGTATAACAGCGGCTGCCGCAGAACAGAACACATGACCGTGTCTCATGCTGGTTTCTGCTCTGCTGCCCTGCAGGATCTAAATGATGTTTTTGAACTGAATTCCCATTAAGTTTAAAAGCCTTTTTTCATTATGCTGCTCGTCCCCGGTCTGCTGTCACAGCCTCCACCTCCTCCCTCCCCACAGCAGAGAGAGAGAAAAAAAAACTGGGATCAGATCATATAAAGAGCTAATTTACATAATATCACGTCTGTGCATGAAGTTCATGTCTGCAGGAAGCAGACTGCGTCTCTACTGCCCCCTGCTGGTGACAAACCACAGAAGTAGGATGATGTCAGTTTTACCTTCGTTCATCATTCAAATGTGGAGCAAGTCCAGGTTGATTTTGTTCTTCTGTTTGTTTACGTCCTCTTCGTATTTTACATTTATGAGTTATGTTTTTAGAGCAGCTAAAATGAAAACATTAACACGGACTTCATTATATGCTGTAACTCATTCATTTTTTCAGTGAAGATCTCAACTTTCTGGTGTTCCTCAAAATGACTCTTTGTCTTTAACAAGGTCCTGCTTGCAAAACAATTAAATGCACTATTTTTATGATGTTTTTGACATTTTTTCAAAAATTGATAGACCAGTGTTGTGATTCACATACTGAGCTGATAGTGGGAGTGTTGTGTCGCTGCTTAGCAGTGCCTAAACCGAGACACGATGATACAGAAATTTGTCTGCTTCGTTTTCACAGTGACAGGATGGAGCTGCTGGTTCACCTTCGAGCAGCATTTCCGTCGATGTTGGACAGTTTTGATGACAAAAGCTCTGCAGATGAAGATGAACATGAGGCTCATGATAAAAATGTTGAGGAAGAGGAAGAGTTAGTTTTTGTTCATCAATCAGATTATCAGATTCAGTGCATTCAAATGACGTTCAGACTCAAATGTATGACTCACCTTTTGTTTATTTTAGGTTCATTTTTTACACTTAGGTATAAATGATGGCGTACCACAAGGCTGTGTACGAGGACCTCTGCCTTTTGGAAACTGAACATGCTTCTACTTGATGACATCCAACCTGAAAAAAATGATTTATGTCCCCATACTGACTAAAACAAAAAACAAAAACAAACAAACAAAAAAACCTGACTAGCTTAAATTTGAAGCTACAGAAGTCAGATCTTACAAAGTCTCCTGACAAACATCTGCCTTCCACTGCTGCTAGAAAGGAAAGCGAAGCCACAACTTCCAAAAGAATCTATGAGAAGTTACAGCAGTTCTGTGCAACATAAAACAGTAGAAACATGAAATATATCAGCCCGACATGACTCATATTCACCCGGCTCGAACAAACACAGTTTCTGACGTCTAGAAATGATTGGAACATTTCGGGAATGTTAGTTTTTGTTAATGCTCTGAAAAGGTTACAGCAACTTGAATTTAATATGAAGATTAAAATGCCTCATTATTCATAATGTCATGTTGTTGCTGTATGATGCTGTTTGTAAGTTACTGAATCCATCCAAAATGAAACAAGGAGTCCACGGGCTTCTTGTACCGGTGACGTTTTATTTTTATTACAGTTTCTCTAATACAGTTGCCCATCTTTGGAACTGACACTGCTCTCAGTAACTGCACGTTTTTACACCGTTAATGCAAAGAAATGGAGCCAGGTGAAGAAGATGGCAGCAGTGGTTGTGTTTATGGTGTTGCAAGTGTGTGTTTGGAGGGGGTTGTACAATAGGTTAAAGAGCAAAGCATGATGGATATGGTCTCATTAGAGGAGGGAAGCGGGGCTTTAATTTCCTCTCTGTGCTTCATCTTTATTAACGTCAGAGCGGTCGATGATCAGACCTCAAAGACAAAAACCAGGAAAGGAAATCAGGTCAAATCACACATACAATCTGAACTGAGGGAGCTCTGGAGGGTCAGGGTCTGGCTCAAGGGCACACTGGCAGAAGGATGGTCTGAAATCCAAGTCAGCAGCTCGCTCCTAAACTCAAGTGTCTCTGCTCAAGTTTCTCTCGGACAATGTTCAGCACAAATATTTTAAAGGTTGCTGATAACTTCTGATGTTTAAAAACACTGAACCTGAAAATGAAGTGACGCCTTCTCTGTATAAATGAGACCTAAATGACCACAAGCATCTTTAAATCCAGTCAACACAGTGTCATCAATATACATACGGAGGAGATATATGAAATCCCTTTATTTTGAATTCTGTTTAATTGAAAAGCACCACAAAGTGAACTTCTCTTCACGTCATTAAAGCCCCAAATCAAATCAATTAATCAAATCAAGTTTTTTTTTTCTGCAAACCTTCAGGACAGTTTCCGCCTGCAGTGACTGCAGCAAAACAGAGATTTCAGTCACACTGAACCAAAACCAACATCTTTCTGAATGCGAACTCAGTCTTTGATG